GGGTACGCATTCATTTTTATTTTTATTAGTTTTTACTTTGCCGGTTTGGTGAGACACCATGTAAATATAATAAATATAATATATAAATGTATATATCTTTTTTTCTTTTTCATCGCCTGCTAGGGATTATCATAGATCAAGTCTTGCTATGATAGCCTATTGCAGGTGAGACTCGCGCCTGCCCCCCTCCCAGCTCCACGGGGCAGAGAGCGAGGTTCAGTGGGTCACTTTTTTCTTTTTACTTTTTCAGGAATATAAACATAAACATAACGTAGAACAATATAAGTAACATGGAACATAAACGTAAGAACAAATAAACATGAACATAAACGTAACAAATAAACATGAACATAATAAACAAATAAACGTAAGAACAAATAAACATGAACATAAACATAAGGACAAATAAACATGAACATGAATGTAAGAACAAATAAATATGAACATAAATTTTGTTTCGTTTCTGTTATTTCTCTTTTCTCGTTTTTGTTTTTTCCTTTCGTAGTATAAACATGAACATAAACATTAATAATGAGAGGTGAAGTAGAGTGGAGCGGGGAGAAGTAATAGTTGTAAGGAATAGTGATGGTCAGATAGAGTTATGGAAACGCAACTCAGGTTAACAAAAAGAAAAGAATGGTATGTGGTTGGATGATGTGATGTGTGGGCGCGGCGGCTACTGTCTGTGCGTGGAAAACATCCCCCGTTACGCACACACTCGCTACCGGGAGTGTGCACGGCCCGGGGGCCCCTTCATTGCCCAGGTTTGTAGTTGGTCATGCTGACTTACAACTAGCTAAGGGGGGTTAAAAACAGAAATAAAAAAGGGTAAGAGCCAGTGAGAAAGGAAGGAACTATTAGTAATAAAGAAGGGGGGCGAAACCCCTTGACAAGACAAGACAAAATATGAAGTAAAGGAGGGGAATAAGAGTGGGGGAGGAGGAGAGGAGTTAGAAAAGGAAATAAGTATTAGAATAAAAGGAGGGGGGGGGCGAAACCCCTTGCATGGTAACATTTGTATACATTTATGTTCGTCATGGCTGGAGTGTGGTGGGGAGGGGTGAGCAATGGACTGGGTTTGTGACTGTAGTGCTGACGAGTTAAGGAGAGGAGTGGTAAACATAATATACAGTGAAAGCAAATTTAAACGTAAAAAAGCTCTTTTTTAAATTTGGTTTAATTATTTTGTTTTTATATTGATCTTTTTTATTGCATTTATGCCCATCTTCCAGGGGAGATGGACATAAATGGAGTGAAAGAGGGGGTGACGAAGGGGAAATCAGATAGATAGAGAAAGAGGGATGGGAATGAGATGAGTGAATGAGATGATAGGATGGGTAAAATGGATAGAATAATAAAGTGGCATAGATAGACATCTCAGGGGGAGTGAATTCTATGACAACAAGGTCTGACTTAAGCAAATGGGAGGGAACGAAGAAAGAGAATGGTAGCAAAAACATGGTAAACAAAACATGGTGAACAAAACACAAAAACGGTAATAAACAAAGAACAAAACAGGGAAGTTGAGAGGAGTTACTTGAGTCGGACTCAATCGGAAATATAAGGAGATGAAGGAAACGAGTACAGAGAGATTCAGGGCGAAGATTAGTGAAATAGAAAGGAGGTGGATAACATAAGGAGACAATCGAGTAGGTGAGGTGCCGCAGATATCCGTATACATTTATATATATATATATATATATATTATATAATATATATATATATATATATAATATATATAATATATATATATATATATATAATATATATACTGTGTGTGTGTGTGTGTGTGTGTGTGTGTGTATACATATATAAATATACATATACAGGTACGTGCACACACATACAAGATGCCATTATATTATCCTGGGCTGATAGTATGAGGTTGAAAGAAAGGATTGACGACCCAAGTGAAGAATGGGAAAACATGACATAATATAACATAATAGGCTTTTTTTTAGGGGGAGGGGAGTTTTTTTTCTTCTTCCTTTTTCCGTAGAACATCTCCATCCTGCTCGTCCTCTGACTCGCGTGCCTGCCTTATGCAATTGCACGAGTGCAATCCCATAATCACAGGCAATCAAGTCAGAGTCCGTAAGATGTTCAGTCCTTGAAACCGTGTATGATTAGACAGTGAAGATCCCACGACCACTAGGCGGGCCCAAGGAGGCTCTAAGTAAGGTGTTTGCATGTGAAGCAGAAAGAAATTGACTAATTGGCATCTCGTCTCGGCGGCCTGCCTTAAGGTACGGTCAGACTACCCATAGATTTCACTGAAATCCAGCGACTTTCTGTGGGCTGGAACCAACCCACCCGTCTTTGGTGTTCACACTGCGAAAAGAACCATCGGCTTCGTCCAGTGGAATCGCGGCATCAAAACAAATCGTGACCGCTGAGACGCACAATGGATCCCACATTGTTCTCTCTAACTCTTGCTACTATTTCATGTTTCCGGACTTATAGAGAATATAAGAAGAGCAAGAGAAGCAAAAAAAAGACTGGATGAAGCCATGGCTACAGAAAAAGGACCAGAGTGTGTTTCAAAAGTTAATGCAAGAAACCAGAGTGGGTGATGATGGTGTGTTCTACGATTTTCATAGAATGGACAGGCTACAGTTTAATAAAGTATTATACTTGGTATCACCCATCATTCAAAAGGAAAACACCCAGTTAAGGAAGACGGTTTCTGCAGCTGAACGGCTCTCTGTGACCTTACGTTATTTGGCCACAGGTAAGACAAAACTTGGTTTCTATTTAGATTTACGGCGCCACCCGATTCCTGCAACCCCCACTTTACCCTCTAGCCATGGGCCAATGCCTTCTGGACACTCAGTACATGAAGTACCATATTTTGCCTAGACAAAGCAATGGGTTTCGCCTCCAGGACCCCTGCTATTTAGCTAGATTGATACAGTGTATACTAGCAGTACAGTGGGGGCAGGCAGAGATGAAAGTAGCCATTATCTTGCTTATTTGCAAACCACACAGTAAATTGTATTCTCAAATAGTTATTATTTTTTAATACTTTAAACCATATGTTATAGTACCTGCACAGCTATTAACACTCAAAATTTCAATGATGTCCTTCATGTTTAGGGTATCATATTTTCAATATTTGAGGTTGTATTTAATTGTGGTAAATCTTTAAAGTATGGACGCGCTCGCCAGACAGTAAGTCCTCACTTGCCAGACACTAAGTCCTCAACTTGACATCCCAAAATATATTTATCAATCAAAGATACTGTGACTGGGCTTGCAACTTTTTGTCCGCTACAAGAATATCATATTCACTTTGCCCTAACAGTGTGTCCATATGTTAAAGATGAAGCTTAGTAGTAATTCTGGCAATTCTTGATAGTCCCGTTTCTTGCTACAAATGTGAAGATAATATAAGTTTATGGAGGTACTGAGGGGGTACAGCGCTTCATCAGCCCACAAGATTATTGGCTGGAGTTAGAGGATTTTTACAAATGCATCCATGCTATCAGGAATTCATGTATTTTCACTTAAAGAGTCTGCCTGAAATTTGTGAAAATTATATTTATACAATTAAATTCCATATAGGTGGAGGGAAAACAAGACTGTAGGATTAAGAAAATTATTATGAATGATGACTATATTTACTATAGTTTTTATTGAATATGCATTCTAAATATTTCACTTATCATTACTAAAACTAAGAAATCTTTTCCTTTTTTTACAGGAGAATCTCGTCGCTCGCTTGCATTTCAGTATAGGATAAGCCATAGTTTGACCACAGACACCATACCAGAAGTTTGTAGTGCAATTTACTCAGTGTTAAAAGATGCTCATCAAAACTTCCATCAACATCAGAGGAATGGAAGCAAGTAGCGAGTGACTTTAATAGTTACTGGAATTTCCCTATGTGTATTGGGGCCATGGATGGAAAACGATTTCTTTTAAGGGACACCATAGCATGCTAATGTTAGCACTTGTCGATGCTCATTACAGATTCCTGTATGTTGATGTGGGCGCTCAGGGACGAGCAAGTGATGCAGGTGTGTGGGAACGATGTAAATTAAGAGAATATTTAGAAAAGGAAATGCTGCAAGTTCCACCACCTGATACATTACCTATGCAGATAATAAAGTTCCATATGTAATTGTTGGTGATGATGCCTTTCCCCTTAAAAGGTATCTAATGAAACCCTATCCCGGCCAGAACTTGAGTACAGAACAAAGAATGTACAACTACAGAGTGTCACGAGCACGCCGTGTATCAGAGAATGCCTTTGGTATTCTTGTTGCTAAATTTCGGGTTTTTCAACAGCCAATTCATTCAAGCCCAACAAACACCCAGAAAATTATTTTAGCAGCAGTGGTTCTCCATAATTTTTTGAGACCTAATACTAGGCAGCCAATGCAACAGGAGCTTGGCAATAATAGTAATGGTTTACAGACCTCAGGAATTCAGAGGCTTGCAAATGTAGGAAGAAGACCTGCCAATGATGTCTTGGAGATAAATACTTTCAAAGACTACTTCAGTGGCAGAGGTAGAGTTTCTTGGCAGGACGATGCTGCCCTCTTGCACTAAACCAAATTGTATTGGTCTTCTGATGTGATATTTCAGTTTTGTTTGCATGTAGTTCCCTTTTATAGTCATAATGTTATATAAATTATATGGTGCACATTTAAATGTGTACATAAATATATCATTGATGTTTATATTTAATACTGTTCATTTTTAGAAATAAATTGAAATAACTAAATTGGTTTCTGATTCAACCCATTACCAGGTAACCAAGAAATATGTTTTTCAAATAACAATCAAATGATGTTACTGACTACAAATAACTTTCTCATTAAATGTGGCAGTTCTTAAGTAATAAATATATGCCCTTATACAAAAATGGAAAAAGAAAAAATACATATATGTATGTTTTATTATAGAAAATAATAGAATCTAGTGTATCTCCAAATAAAATATATAACATTAATATCCTTATAACCTAAACTTATATTAATATCCTTACCCTAAACTTACATTAATATTCTTACAACCTAAACTTACTGAATAAATAAACTATATAAAAATATATAACTGTTATGTGAAAAAAAACACAATCTACTGACAAGATAAGAAATCACAGTAATAAATTCATGACTATATACAAACCATTACTAAATGACAGCTATACAAATTGTTTAACTCTTACATGACTACCATCTATGGCAGATTTTGATTATTAGTGTTCCTACGCGTTTCTTTAGACTTTTTTAGAGTTCTTGCCACAAGTTCAATAACTTCCACAGAGAACTCCAACTTCAAGTCCTCATCAGAGGCAAGGTGATTCATCAGTGACATCACAGCCTCAGTAGCCATGTCAAAGCGGACAGGCAGCCTTGACTGTTCAGCCCATGTATTTTCCATTTTATCAATAGCCTTTGCCATCATTTCATCAAGAGGATCACTGCTCATGTTCCTCTTTCTCCTTTTTTTCACTGGAGGGTTTCCTGCATAACTGGTAGAAGGAATAGGTGTTATCATGATGTCTCCAGTTATATCAGGCTCAGGGGAAGGAGTTGATCCAGAGGTCAGACGGGAAGGAGTTGATTTGGATGAAGTCGTGATTGGTGAAATTGTAATTTCACAATCATTGGCAAGATCCTCGATTCCTTCCTCGTATACCACCACTTCCTGACTTTGTGTATTCTGAAAATAAATAAAAATCACTTAAATTTTTGTATTCCCAAATGTTAGAATGATTCAAACAAATAATGAGTTATGTTTCATCTCACACTTCTTTTACAAGAAAGCATTTGGAAAAGACAATTTTTGATATTTGCCTAGTGTTTCTTAGCTAAACATATTTTGTGTGTATTAATAATGAGCATTTTCAATAAGTTATTCTTCATCTGACATTCCTTTTAAAAGTAAATGCAATTTTTAATATTTCCACAGTTTCTTAACTACATATATTTTATATTTATTAATTATAAGTACCAATGATAACTTTAACAGTTTAAAAACATTCACTTGTGCTTACCAAGTCATCTGGGTGTATGAAACTCGACTCAGTGGGGTAGTTATCATACACTGACTGCAGAAAGGAACATGAGCTGAAAAGCTCTCACTTCTGCGGAGTTTGAGCCCCAGAGCCACTCGGAGTGTTTTTGATTTTACGTGGTATTTTCTGATACTGACCCCGGAGAAACTGGAACTTGTTCATAACATCACCTGTAAATGATTCAGGAATTATTCATTTAAAAATACCAAAGGAATTTTGTAGTGTAGATGACACATTCATTAATAACTAGTACTTTGAGAATAATATCCAGTCTAAAGCCTAGCCTAGGTCATTCTGAATCTAATTGTGAATATGTATTTTCTTGGGGGACCTCCAAAAACTGATAAATTATACAAATGAAAGAATGTATACTAATATTATGAGTCAATTGCCATAATGAAGGTTGTAATTTTGACAATCAAAGACTAAGCAAAGAGGAATAAAAATTCCTTCCTAACAGCCACAAACTCACAATTAAAAATTAAAAGCTAGTGTTTGACCTTTACATATAATTAATGGTTATTCAGAAAATTTGTTTTAGAGCATATCCTTGTTTACAAAGTGTTACGTTATGCCCAAATATATTTTTTGGGTGAGTTTATGAATCATTACAATGTATTTTTTGGTGAAATATAAGTATAAGGTAAAATAAAAATACATGAGAAAAGATTAACTTTCTTCAGGGAAGGAAATATAGTCTAAAATAAATCAATTCCCTGATAAATATTTTATTGATACTTTTAATGATCATATATATTACTGAATTGAGAAGAATCATGTCAGCTGCCTTTGAATTTTGCTCATTTTGCCAAATTTCTCTGTAAGGTAGCCTACACAGCTTATACATGTATCACACAATCTTTGAAAACAGCCTCACAAAAGCAACTTATAACTTAGTCCTAAATGAATTACAAAATATACAAGAATTATATAAAATCAATAGCAATAATAACTTCAAATTATTATATTACCCGTAGTCAGTCCAAGAAGCTGTGGATACTCCGACATCAGTTCTGAAGATATTTTGTCAAAGAGAGTCCGTTTCATGTTCTTTTTGTGGTAAAATGGATGCTTGATATATCAAAGCACTTCTTCCTTTCGAACCTTTTCAAGGAGGGCGAAAATTGCTTCAGAATTCCACATTTTGAATGTTCACGGGATCTGCGATTTCAACTTGAAGATGGCGCCTACGCGTTTGTTTATACTCGTCAGTCAAATGAGAATCCATGGTCAATGCTTTTGTTTTAATTTATTCGTACTTTAACTTATATTCAAATGTTAATAATGATGTAAAACTAAATATGAATAACTCTGAATAATTTGAAATACATAATAATATTTACACTGTGAAATGAAAAGAAATGTATACCATGCATACTATAGCTTCTCAACGTGTGCAATTTTCCCAATCGTCCAACGATGGACGAGTGGGTTTCCATCGCATCGATCGTGTGGGCGTATGTCCAGTGAAATGAGTCCATGCGTGGGCAAATTCCATTCCAAATCGCTGGATTTCACGAATCTATGGGTAGTCTGACCGTACCTTTAGCCCAGCCCCATTTTAACAAGCTGGGTGTGTGTGTATATATGCATATAAATATGTATATATATATATATATATATATATATATATATATATATATATATATATATATATATATATATATATATATATATATTATATATATATTATATTATATATATATATATATATTATATATATGTATGTGTGTGTGTGTGTGTGTGTGTGTGTGTGTGTGTGTGTGTGTGTATGTATGTATGTATGTATGTATATATATATATATATATATATATATATATATATATATATATATATATATATATATATATATATATGTCATATTTATATATATACATATATATATGTATATATATGTATATATATGTATATATATATATATATATATATATATATATATATATATATATATATATATATATATATGTGTGTGAATGTCAACACACTTGAATAATCCGCGCTTTCCCGCCTAACATGACCTGTCAAAATGGTGCAGAACTATGGCGTCACCCGAGTGGCGCCATAGCTAGCCAATCAGGACACAAAAATTGTTTCCAATTGTGGATTGTTTTTTTATTTTTTTATTCCTCATAATTATCAGTATGAGGAGTGCAACAAAAAATCCACACTTTTGTTTGAGCATGCGAATCTTTTTTCATTATAATGAAGCTTAGAAAACAAACAGGAAAAAATCATATTTTGTTAAGTGTTACTACAGAGCTCAATGGGGATGACGCTCCCTCCCTTCTAGATTCCTTGGGCGGGCCGAGGCGGGCAAAGTGACTAATCGTGGTAACTTGCTACGTGCTACGAGATTGATTGGAAGGACTCTTCTAACTCGAGTAGTGTGCGGGTGCAAGTTACTGCTACTATGCGTCTTTGTGTGGTTTCCATATCTGGTACATCCCTGAAGGTGTGGTCTGATGAGTTGAGTGGATGGCTCACCACTGCCTGACAATGAATGCACTCTTTCGGTACTCGTTCGCCAATCTCCCAGTTACAAGGGTATCCTAGTCGTAGCCTGTTTATGATAACTGCATCTTTTCTTGATACTGAACGGGATATGGTGATGTTGTTGTATTCAGTGGCAGTTTTATACCAGTTAGCCGTAGTAGCTCCAGCTTGAACCCAGACTTGTTGTTGGACTAGTGCTTTGTGAGTGGCTATAATATTGGCTTTATTTTTAATCTGGCTGATGCTTGGTTTGATTAGCTGGATGTGAGTTTGATGTAGGCTGTTTTTGGCTGCAACGTCGACTAGGTCGACGGCCATTGCTTCTAATCTGATGTGACTAGGAATCCACATTAATCGGACCGTCTTGAACTGCTGTGTCAACTGTTGTAACTTGAACAAAGAGGATATAACTAAATACACGTGTAAGTGAGCCTGTTTTTGTAAAGTTTGTATAGCAGAGAGGGAGTTCAGCTTGGAGAATGGAGGAATCGTTGCTGCCTCGATGCCTGTACATGGTCGTTGCAAAGAAATGCACCTCCAGCTCTGCCTGACTCTGGATCTACAGACCCATTAGTGTAGATGACAGCCGTGTCTCTGTCATTCTCAATTGAAAAAATGGTCTCTCATAGTTTCTGGAGGTCAGTCGGAGAGCAGTTTACCTTAGCTCTCGGGAGACTGTTGGTGAGGAAGGCTGTGAGTGATGGTTCCCAGGGATTGGGTTCTTCATACCCATGATGTGGTGCATCGATGCCACGGGACATTAGAGCCAGAGGGAGGATCATGGAGTTGATGCATTGATGGACTTCATGATGCCAGGGAAGGACGCGGCGATGAGGGGCTTGAGGGATGGCTAGGATTCCTCGTAGAGAATCTTACACACATGACCTGTTACAATCTGCTGAATTCTTGTTTGTAGGGGAATTGACTTGGCCTCCAGACGCAGGTTTACGAGGCGTGTCCACCTAGGTGCACCGAGGATGACACACATGCACCTGTTTTGGAACTGTAGTCTATGAGCGACCAGATGGCATGTACATAGAAGGATCTTAGGACATGGAAGCCAGCGCCTAGTCTTGTTGTGGTGAGACGTCGTAAGACTTTAATTCTAGCTTTGGTAATGTCCAAAAGGTTTTTTAGTTGTGAGGAGGAATCATTCTGACGACATTTGTGAGAAGTGACCTATTCTATCTTATTGGTTTCTATGTACAAGTGGTGGTTAGGAATGCAGCGTCTGATTTGGAGAGCCCTCGTCTTGTCTGAGTTTAGCTTAAGTCCTAGGGTGTGACACACTGGTTATTAGGTCAAGAGCTTGCTGAGCATGTGGAAATCGAGATGCGCCAGTGGCGATCAACTAGAGGTTGTCAGCATAGGCGAACAGGTGTGGCAGTAGGTAGCTGTATGGAAAGGAGTTCTGCTATCAGGAGATTTAACAAGAGGGGACTTAAATCCCTCCATGGGGGGGGGGGGTTCCATTTCCAAAACCGTAAAATCTTACGATGGAGAAGGTAGTCATTAGTCCAGGAGAGTATCTTGCCGGAGTCACCTCAGGAGGCAAGGATTTGTATAATGACTTTTCGTCTCACAAGTTCGAAGGCCTTCTCTAGGTCTAGGAAGACTGCAAGTCCATCTTTTCCATCAAGGGTGCTGTGGATGGTGCCAAGATTATCTTAAGTTCCAAGTCCCTTGCAGTAAGCATAGATATGCCCCGACGCCTGGTCGGTGGCGCTTCGTACCAAGTGGGAAAGTGGCCAGCCTTGGTCGTACTAGCTGGCGCTCCCCAATACGAAGAGAAGGGGGTGAAGAAGGCGCCGTAGATGGTCTCGCTCCCGGACCGCCGACGAGAAGGCAGTATGGCAATGGATTTGCATCCGCCATAGACTGGTGTCAATCATCTCTTTAAGGAGCTTTTGTGTGTGGGTGTGAGTGCCCCACAGGTATGGCTGGTTGCTAGAGATCGACAGGGGGAGCCGGGGGCGGGATTCACTAACATACGATCGTAACGCATTTGCCAGCGGTCATTTACCATTGCATATACCAGTAATGGCAACTTGGGATTCACGAAGAAATGGTAATTTGGATATGCTGAGTTCAATCGTAAATCGACTCATTCTAATGATAGCCAACAGAGGGCTCTAGTAAAGTAATTCCACCAATCAGCGAGCGCCATACATAATTTTTTAGGTTCCTTCGGCCAATCACATATGTAAACAGAACTATACACAGCAAGATTTTTAAAATGATCTTCAAAGCTAAAGTATTATTCAAGTACATGTAGAAAAAATGAATGAATTTATTTGATCATATCCATCATATGGGATATATTTTTACTGTATAGATAGGAGCCAATACAAACACTTATTAATATTATATCAATAAATATTATTATTAATATATTATGAATATTAGTCCAAACAGTTTTTATTGATTGATTATTTTTCATCATTGTTTAACAAAGAACCGGATCAAAATTTTTAGTAATCGCTATCTGTTGTCAAAGGAAATATTTAAAGCTTATTCTTGCCCATGCACTTTGGAGTTTATTGTCAAAATGCCGACAGACAGAAATTGCTATACTCGTTTAGCGTTGATATTGCCAGTTTATATATCAGCAAGCTATTTTTTTCTATACCATTTGGGTAATTTTCTATGTTACCTTCGCCACACCGATATCGACGATTTTGGTATCGTTGGATTCCTCTCACTGTCCACATTCCAAATAAGTAGGTTTTATTGCGCGGAAACCCCCCCGTTAGCGAGAAACTTGGCCCCGATTGCAAGGGAGGGCATGGAAGGTTCTAGAGAAAATCGAGGTTAAATAACACTAATAATATAACCCACAGTGAAAATAACCATGGTTATTCATATGACTTTCCATTGCACGGGGCTGCGCCCCCTGCGACCCCCCCTAAGGAAAGCCCCGCCGAGGAAACAAAACCTCCACCACGTATTCCCGGCAGGCTAGAGCGTTACACAATTCTCGTCGATCGCAAAGCGGCGGACGTATAGGGGTAAAATAACACTAATGATATAACAAACATGACTTTCCATTGTAGGGGGCTGTGCCCCCTGCGTCCCCCCCTTGGGGGGCTGCCGCCCCTCAACCCCCGCCGAGGAAACAAAACCTCTACCCAGTATTCCCGGCAGGCTAAAGCGTTACAAAATTATCGTCGATCTCGGAGCAGCGGCCGTGTTATAGTTACCTCGTAACATTCCCACTGAATCAGCATACTAACCTTGACATAGTCAGCATTGTATACAGACACGATTGGAGTATAATCAGGATGAACGGGGTATACCATGAACAGACGAGCGCCCTCGTCGGCGGGTTTTCCGCCTCTCTCGATGTTACGCCGATGGCCTCAAGGTCGAGTTTCCCGTCCCCTGGAACCACGATTTTCGAAATCCAAACCGAAATAACCGTCGCATTCAGTACTTCGCCATGGCCGCCGCGATGACAGTGTGTGAAGGGTGCTCCTACTCCGAGATAGATTTTCTGCGCGAGGTAGCAACAAGCCAGGATGAGATTCTGCGTGAAGGGAGCACCCTCTCTACTATCGGCGGCATTTATCAATCAGGTTAGTATCTTAAAAATCCTAGGTTATTGTAGGTTATCGGGTTGGGGGGGAATCCAACGATACCAAAATCGTCAAAATTACTATATTACGTCCGCTGCTCCGACCGCTGCTCCGACATCGTCGCCCCCGATATAATGCCCAAGTTTGCCGCTAACGGGGGGTTTCCGTGCAATAAAACCTGCATATTTGGATTGTGCAGAGTGACAGGAATCCAACGATACCAAAATCGTCGATATCGGTGTGGCGAAGGTAATATAGAAAATTACCATCATTTGTAATAATCATGTCAGAGAAGAATTCTTTAAGAGTTCACTTATCTATCGACTCCATGTATTCTAGTATGATATAGGCCTATAAGTTTACGAGAATTTGTGTGGATTTTATTCTCGCTAATTTCACGTGAAATTTGTATTTCTTCACAATGCCTGTATTGCGATATGTGTTTGCCAACA